ATCTTCCATTCCTGGGCAAGGTGATTGAGCAGGTGGTCTCTGAACAACTCCATGCACACCTGGAGAATGAAGACCATTTGGATCCCTTCCAGTTGGGATTCAGGCCCCATTATGGGGCTGAAACCACCTTGGTTGTGCTGGTCGATGGTCTCCAGCAGGCCACGGACAGAGCCATGTGTGTGGACCAGTGGAAGCAAAGAGTTGTCTGGAATGGTCCCTGCTGGGTATGGGATTCAGTTTATCACAGCAAAAGAAAGTGCAGTAGAGATTGTTTGACTTAGTAAATGCCATCATGCACAATACAGATGTGACCAAACAGTTTTCTAAGTTTCTAAACATTCCCAGTAGTGATGTATGGAAGTGAGAGCTAGACCATAAAGAAGGCTGATCGCCAAAGAATTGTTGATTTTGAATTCTGGTGCTGGAGGAGACTCTTGAGAGTCCCATGGACTGCAGGAAGATCAAACCGATCCATTCTGAAGGAAATCAGCCCTGAGTGCTCACTGGAAGGACAGATCCTGAAGCTGAGGCTCCAATACTTTGGCCACCTCATGAGAAGAGAAGACTCCCTGGAAAAGACCCTGATGTTGGGAAAGATGGAGGGCACTAGGAGAAGGGGACGACAGAGGACGAGATGGTTGGATAGTGTTCTTGAAGCTACCAGCATGAGTTTGACCAAACTGCGGGAGGCAGTGGAAGACAGGAGTGCCTGGTGTGCTCAGGTCCATGGGGTCATGAAGAGTTGGACACGACTAAACGACTAAACAACAACAACAACAACAAACACAAAACACACTATATACAAACAGTTGCTTGAGGAAGTCTTCCCTCTCTCTCTGAGCCCAGAGAGGGCTTTCGCTTTCAAAGCCATTGCTTAGGCAAAGCTCCCAAGCAAGTATAAAGTCCACTTGCCAAAGTCCTGCAGCACACAGATCTCCAAGTCAAGTTCTCCAGTGGTCTTTCGATTCTCCAGCTTCTCTCCATCTCCACACTTCATCTTCATATGTCTCCAGAATTTCTGCCTCAAAGGAATGCTGTGAAGTGAGCCTCTTACACAGGCCAGCACAGGAATCTTGTATTGGGAGAGCAGCGCCACTCTGCTACTGGCTGGTGATGCCATCATCCTGAATCTTTTCTCTATAATGGCATAATAAGCTATAATGATAATGTCTCATCTCCTGTCAATTTGCTGGGTTTTAAATAGTTGCCGTGCTTTCATTTCGCTTATTTCTTGCATGGTTGTTTTTATATTTTATCTATTATAAGCCACCTTGAAAGGCAGCCTAAAAATACATTCATATATAAATACAATTATTTGCCTCCGCTGAAATGCCGCAATTACTGTTTGTTTTTCTTTACTGCAACTTTAGATCAGATTATCCAATGACATGCAAACATCCATAGGCCATATTTTTTGCTTTCTGCCTTGAATTAACTTAACTCAGCAGAACATGTCGGCAGATTCTGCAGTTTCACCTTTTCCAACTGAGGCCGGTGTTTAGTTCAGCTTAATTTGTTGTATGTTCACTGATGTAATTGCTGGCAGCTGTATCTAACTTCCACATCACTATTGATTTGTGGTTTGTCTTAATCTACAGTTTGTAGATAAAGATTTGAACTTATTGTGCTTGGGCCCCACTTTGCGGTTCTTTTTGTAATGAAAAATGGGCTGGAAATATTTTTCAACAAATATTAAATTATTATCATTTTAAAATAATTTAGGAGTGTCAGCTTAGGTTTTATGTAGCCCCAAAGGCTGCGTTCTACCTATCCTGTCACAAGCAACATGCTTCTGTCAATCAGTTGCTGGGAATAATAATAATAATAATAATAATAATAATAATAATAATAATAATAATAATATATTTATACCCCGCCCATCTGGCTGGGTTTCCCCAGCCACTCTGGGCAGCTTCCAATAAAAGACTAAAATACAATAACCTGTTAAACATTAAAATCTTCCCTGAACAGGGCTGAGTATATAGTGGTAACCCGAGGTACCACTGTATAGGGCTACCTTCAGATGTCTTCTAAAAGTCTGGTAGTTGTTTTTGGTAGTGTGGTACAGTGGTACGTCGGGTTAAGTACTTAATTCGTTCCGGAGGTCCGTTCTTAACCTGAAACTGTTCTTAACCTGAAGCACCTTTAGCTAATGGGGCCTCCTGCTGCTGCTTCTGTGCTGCCACCACACGATTTCTGTTCTCATCCTGAAGCAAAGTTCTTAACCCGAGGTACTATTTCTGGGTTAGCAGAGTCTGTAACCTGAAGCATATGTAACCTGAAGCGTATGTAACCCGAGGTACCACTGTAGTTGGATGTCTCGAATGATTATTTTCTGCCCATGATTTGCAATGCCAGTGACTAAAGCATAGCCAAAATTCTCTGGCTCTTTCATTCCTGAGGAATAAAGCAACTTCTTTTCTACTTCCTGGTGTGACAAGTTCTTTATTAGGCACAAGTTTTAAAGGTATACACACATTTTTTTAAATGGGCACATGTCAAAATGTTTAATTCCTCTCAAGTGCGGATGCCAGGTCTACACGAGTGGTGAACACTTACGCAGGTTCAGACATGCACTTTGTAACAACAAACACACACGAAATTGTGAAAGCAAATTCACTTGGTATGCTTCTTTTGTTTCATGGCAGACATATATTTTAACAAGTAAGGGTGAGTAATTTCCAATCAAGTCATGCTGCAAACTTATCCAACCCTGTCCACGTTTACTCACAGGACCCCTTGAGTTCGACAGACCCTAGACTACAATCCTAAACACATTTATTCAGGAGTAGGCTCCATTGAGCAGAGGTGGGCTTACTCATGGGTAAATAGCACCCAGAGGATTGGGTTCCATGGCTGCTGAATCATATGCTAGCTTACTCAGAGGCCAGACCACACTGAAGTCAAAACGAATTTAGCGGGGCGAAACAGAAGCAGAAATTGTCTGCGATGATATATCTGCGGCGATTCAAATATTCACATCAAATTTGTGTTCCGGGAGCCTCAGCGACACATTTCTAAATCTGGATTGTTTTAAACAATGCAGACAATGTCAGGCTGTTAGCCTTATCGCATCATGGGGAGAGAAGTAATCATATTGAAGCTGGATAATTTCTGTTGTCTGGGTTTAAAAACTCAATTAATTGCCTGGGGGTTTTCATATGACAAGCCCTCTGAATTAATTCTGTTCCTTACAGATCGCACATTACATAAGGCCCTCAGCTAGGGGGAACTCCCTCCTCTGTGAGACATTTACATTTACATGATGAATCTAATGATCCCCGCCACTTATACGTGCGGTATATTTTCCCCCCAGGTGCTCTCGGCTGAAAATCCTCAACCTTCCCTGCGCATATTAACCCGAAACGCCCTCCTAATTATGATTAACGATCATGTTCCCTCCTCCAGATGTCTGGGGGGAACTGTAAGGGGCGGCGTTGCTATGGCAACATCGAGTCCATTCCCATGGAGTCCATTCCACGGAGCAGTCCTCTCCTGAAGATTACGGCTTATTCCGCACTTCACAGAGGGCGAAACAGCCAGTGTTGACCCAGGCTGAAACTGGGTAAATGGAAAGCTGTGAGAAATGTGCTTGAAATGTCCCGTCCAAACTGGATGCGGTGGCCTGTTGCCATGCAGTTATTTCCACAATTTAGCTTCTGGAATCTTGTTGCAATTCCGATAGTAAAGAATTCGTACGAATGAGCCAAAAATCCACGCTGAGCCAAAATGGCCTCCCAGAATTCAATGCACCATTTGTGGGTGATAAACAAATTCGTGTAGGTGGAAACCAGCAAGAGCCACCAACCCTAGTGGCTATGTTCTATTTCCACAGCTGGAGCCAGAATGACTCTGAATTCCAGTTGCTGGAATGTCCACAGGACAGGACATTAGATGTTCTCGGACTCCAATTCCCATCAGCCCAAGGCAGCATTCCCAATGGTCAGGGGCGAGGGGTTTTGTAGTCCCTCAACATCTAGAAACGTGCTTCCCAAACTTGAGTCTCCATCTGGTTTTGGACTACAACTCCCATCATTCCTAGCTAGAAAGACCAGGGGCATTCCAGGGGATGGGGACGGTCCGCTCCAGGTACCATTCCAAAGCGGGGGTGACAAAATGCTGACCCCTGATCGGCGACACCCCCTGGGGCATGTGCCGCTCACCACACATCACCGGGACATGCGCCACACCCCCTGGGACAAGCGCCGCTCCGGGTACCTGAGCAGGTTGCTTCGCCTCTGAGCAAGACGAGTAGTCAGGGATGATGGGAATTGTAGTCCCAAAGCAACTGCAGACCAAAGTTTGTGAAATGCTGGCCTACCGGGTCCCATGTCCCTCATCCCTGTGTCAGAGTCCTGGTTTGCAGTGACTCCACCAGCCCACAAATGGACTGGCGTGACCATGTGACAAGATGAGCAACCTCTTCCCCTATATAAAGGAGAATCAGGACATACATTTGAGGGTTGGGGAATAGTCAACATGGTGTCCAATCGGCACACTCCAACTCCCATCAGCCACAAACAGCAGGGCCAATGGTTGGGGGTGATGGGAGTTGTAGTTCATCTCTAGATGCCCATCTTGAGTACCCCTCTCACATTGCACTAGGGCACAGCTAATCTATTTTTATTTTATTTTTTGTTCTGGAGTGAGTTTCCATATTGTGATTAGGAAGTATCCTGGCAACACCATGAGTTACTTTGGCTTTATCCAATTGTATTAATTGTTTGGATGAATCTGGTGATGTAGATAAATAGGTACCACTCCAGCGGGAAGGTAAATGGCATTTCCGTGCGCTGCTCTGGTTCGCCAGAAACGACTTAGTCATGCTGGCCACATGACCCGGAAGCTGTCTGCGGACAAACCCCGGCTCCCTCGGCCTATAGAGCGAGATGAGCGCGCAACCCCAGAGTCGTCCACAACTGGACCTAACAGTCAGGGGTACCTTTACCTTTACCTGTGCTTGATATTATAGCAATTGCAATGTTTGGGACATTTGTGTGTTTTCAATGTTTTTGTGATTATTGGGAGCCTCCCTGAGCTCAACATTTGTTGCTGGAAAAGCAGAATACAAATATTAAATCAAATCCAAGTCAATAATCTGCTCCCTGATCTCGCCAATGGTTGATTTTTGCTTGCAAAGCAGGGGCTTGAGCCATAGTCTATTCCACAAAGCAAAACAAAGGAGCTGAAATAAGCAAGATGCCTGCGCTCTGTATACCACAATTTGAGGAGGGGGGGAGGAACAATGGAGATTTCTTAACCATCATTTCCACTTCAGAGGCAGGTGCAAGAGATCCAAAATCTGAGAAATGAGAAGGTCATAATGTTCTATGCTGAAGCCACAATCTTTAAGCGATGGAGGTGCTTGATTTGGAGAACTAACTTCAGCTTAGTGATAAATCTGGGTGACAGCTTCTTCCCAAACTCCACATTCCTTTCTTCTGGTCCTTCCTGTTTCCTTTCGCCTTATCAGTCACCCCTAACACACCGAGGTTGTCATCTTGATGCCAGAACTCGATGGCACGGTCCACCTTGTCCTCTTCCTCCAAATCGGCATAAATCCATAGCTGTTGCCACGCCATTTCCGACAAATTTCCGCCTGAACCTTGAAAATCAAAGAGCTGCCATTACCAGAAAGCTGCCATTTCAGTTCTCAGACACAGTCAGAGTAAAAGTGCAAAGCTCTGATGGTGACATTTGTTATATGTCAAGCACAGATGGAATAAACCTAAAACCTTTGGATTATTCTTAGCTATTTTGCACTTCGACTGAAATTTGTCAATGTCGACAAATGCAAAAGTTTAGGTGTCAACTGTTGGCATCAGAAAACACAGTGGACACTTTTGGGGGGGACTTTATCGTTTTTCTAGTGTTGCATCATTATTATTTTCTTCGTTTCACTGTTTAACGTCTACCTACCATAGAGACAGGGACGCGGGTGGCGCTGTGGTCTAAACCACAAAGCCTAGGGCTTGCCGATCAGAAGGTTGGCTGTTCGAATCCCTGCAACAGGGTGAGCTCCTGTTGTTCAGTCAAAGCTTCTGCCAACCTAGCAGGTCGAAAGCACATCATGTGCAAGTAGATAAATAGGTACCGCTCTGGCAGGAAGTTAAACGGCGTTTCCTTGCGCTGCTCTGGTTCGCCAGAAGCGGCTTAGTCATGCTGGCTACATGACCCGGAAGCTGTATGCCGGCTCCCTCAGCCAAAGCGAGATGAGTGCCGCAACCCCGGAGTCGGTCACAACTGGACCTAACAGTCAGGGGTCCCTTTACCTTTACCTTAGAGACTGTTGTGATATTAAGCAGCATATAAATATATAGAAGGAAATAAGCAGAAGCTTCCATAGCATCAGGTCATTTGATTGATTGATTGATTGAATCACAAAATCATAGAGTTGGAACCGTCACTTGGAAGATGGAGCAATCCTGTTTTCTCCTGCTCTGGAGGGCAGGACCCAAAGCAATGGCTTCAAGTTACAAGAAAGGAGATTCCGACTAAACGTTAGGAAGAACTTTCTGACAGTAAAGAGCTATTAAACAGTGGGAGGGACTCCTTCAGAAGGTGGTAGACTCTCCTTCCTTGGAGGTTTTTAAGCAGAGGTTGGGTAGCCATCTGCCATGGATGCTTTAGCTGAGATTCCTGCATTGCAGGGGGCTGGACTAGATGACCCCAGGGGTCCCTTTCAATTCTACAATTCCATGATTCTATGGCCCTGCTGATGTTGGAGGCTGAGGGAAGCAATAATTTGTGTAACCACAAGAGGGCCACATCCTCACGAAGATGAGAACAGGGAAAGGTTTATACCAGGCTTCCTCAAACTCGGCCCTCCAGATGTTTTGAGACTGCAATTCCCATCGCCCCTGATCATTGGTCCTGCTAGCTAGGGATCATGGGAGTTGTAGGTCAAAAACATCTAGAGGGCTGAGTTTGAGGAAGCCTCGTTTATACTCTCTGCTTCTGTGTCTTGTTGCGCTTAGGATTCCCTGGCCGGATTTTGAATCGCTCAATTTCGTTTTCTGCTGTGGTCGTGGGAATCGCAAGCCTTTGCTTCCCTGAAAACGCAGCCACGGAAAAAATAATGCAAAGTCCCTGACCCCAGCCCTCCTTACCTCTTGATTTAGGAAGCAGTACAGAACAGCAACAATGAAGCCCTGTATAACAAGGAGGAAAAGCACAGAAGTTAAACAACTAAACCGGCAGCTGGGGGAACTCAGGTCTGCGGGTCAAATGGATTCCTCTGGACCTCTCTACCTGGTCCCTGGGATTCTCCATTGGCCATGCCTCCTCCTCAAAACCACACCACAGTCCCTCTCCCACACCCTTCTCCGCTCCCCCTCCATTAAGATGTAATATGCTCACTTCCCCCTGGAGCCGGATTAGGCGGCTCCTGCAGACCAGTCAGGTTGCTGCCTTCTAGGATCCTACCTGCCTATTGTTCTAGGATCCAAGCTCAGTACATAACAGCCTGGTTCCCTGTAGCTTCGCTTCTCTCAGGGAGGGAACCGCCAGAAGGCCCTTGGTCCTGGATCTCAGTGTCTGGGCTGAACGATGGGGGTGGAGATGCTCCTTCAGGTATACTGGGCTGAGGCCGTTTAGGGCTTTAAAGATCAGCACCAACACTTTGAATTGTGCTCAGAAATGTCCTGGGAGCCAATGTAGGTCTTTCAGGACCAGTGTTATATGGTGCCAACTAGGCTTTGAGAAGGAGGACTCTAGGTCCCTGTCAGAGCCCTCACTCCTCCTTCCTGAAGCAATAACTTACTAGGCTTTGGGAAGGAGGCGGGAAGTCGCCCCTTTCGCTCGTCACCCTGAGTTTTGGGCAGCTGGGCCAGGGACATTTACCGACAGAGGTATGTGATCCCTGGATGTTTGAACCACTAGGGAATGAGACCCCCCCCCCCAGGCTGAAGCAGGCTACTCAGCAATGGTCCAACTCTTATGAAGGCAACTTCATCCACGATCAGAACTTTTGTCTTGTCACTGCTAGACTATGCAGTGGTACCTATGATTGCGAATGGGATCCATTCCAGAGGCCAGTTCGTAACATGAAAAGTATGCAACCTGAAGCGTCGTATATGCGCAGGTGTGCAGCGCGATTTGGAGCTTGTGTGCATGCATGAGCAATGAAACCCGGAAGTAACCCTTTCTGGTACTTCTGGGTCGCTGCGGGACGCAACTTGAAAAAACGTAACATGAAGCAAACATAACATGAGGTATGATTGTACCAGAAAGCCACTTCCGACCTCGGGAGGAGGTGGTGTTGCGGGCTTCACACCCCCAACACGGGCGCGGAGGCTGGCTCCCAGCTCCCGCGCGATCTGGGGAATCCTCAGCCGCGTCATCCCCTGGCCAGCCAATCAGCTGGCCTAGGGGGTATGGTTTGCCTCATTTAAGGCAAGCGCGGCCGGGGATCTCCCTCTTTGGCCGCTCAGCTGCTTTGGTTTCCCACCCCCACCCCGCCTGTCAAGGTTCCCCTTCTGACCTTGCTATGGACCTCGGTTGGTCGCCGTTAAGGGGCCTGGTAGGAATTTTTTCCACTTGGCAAATTGGCACCGGCCGTTTGGTTTTTCACCTACCTCGTAGCAAATTGTCACAACTTTCTCGGTTTTGGTGGTTAGGCATTGGTATGGGTATTGTTATGTAGATGTGTGTGGGGGGAGCACCATCACCTCCCCCGGATATTGAAGGGTAGCCCGGTAAAGGATTCCGGGGTGTGTGGCCTCGTCCAAAGCCTATGGAGGTGAGGGCTTAAGGCACGCCCCCGAGCGGTGACCCCGGGGGAGTGCCTAGTTGATGTGCACCAGCAGGGCTCCCCCCGCTGGTGTTAACCCTTCCCGGTCTTCAAGCAAACAGGCTGAAGCTGGATAGTCGGATAGGACCAATGCCTAAGCCAATACCGCTCATCACCTGTAACCAATAAAGTTGTGGCCAATTTTAGCCCATTAACCTAAAATAACGTGTCATGTGTCTTTATTCCTACTGGTGGGAAGTGGGAACTCACCACGCAAAATATGGCTGGGGCTGATGGCAGTTGAAGAGACAAAGGTACTTCAACCCTGATTTAGATGATACGCTGAATTGTGAGAGCAATTCAATCTGAGAGCAGCAGCAGTGAGCTAACTTGTGATTACAAACCAAGATGAGCCTCTAAGATTAGCAGGCTCTGATGCTATAGCAGCATTGGAAACACCCATGCTGTTACAAGATTTAACCTCTGCAACAAAAACAAAAAATCCTACACTTGCACTATGTAAAACTTTACTTAACAGGAAGAAATACGATTTAGAATATGAAAGACAAAAATGGAGTAAAGAGCTAGGAGTACAGATAACAAATGATATATGGGAGACAAGTATAAAATCAATAGAAAAAACCTCTATGGATTTAAGGCTTAGACTTATTCAACAGAAGATAGTATTTAGAGACAACTGGACTCCAGCAAGATTGTATTAGAAGAAAATAACAAGTGCAGATAATTGCTGGAGATGTGGGAATAAAAATGAGAACTTAATACATATGTTGATTAACTGCCTGACAATCAGACCATTCTGGAGCACGGTGAGGGTATTTATAGCAAAAGTAATGAAGTTATTTAGGGGAACTGAATTTAATTCTAAATTATATTCCGGAAACTTGGAAGGTCTTGAGGGGCCCAAAAAGGTGGTTGTATATTAGAAGAAGAAGAAAAAAACTTGTTTTGATGAATTGGAAGAGTCGCAAAAAGATTCCACTGAGCATATGGACTGATAATATGGACAGATTAGCTACGTACAAAAGAATTGCTTGTTGATGCAAAATAAGAATGGATAAATACAAAGAAATTTGGAACGAATATCTAAGTGACAAGGCAGATAACAGTGGGAAATAGAGGGGGGAGAGAATGGTGATAAACAAGGAGTAGGCATAGAGACATCACCTTGCCAACAAAGGTCCGTATACAGTGGTACTTCGCAAGACGAATGCCTCGCAAGACAGAAAACTCGCAAGACGATTTTCCCTATGGGCTTGCTTTGCAAGACGGAAACGTCTTGCAAGTTTGTTTCCTTTTTCTTAACACCGTTAATACAGTTGTGACTTGACTTCAGGGAGCAACTCATAGCACGCGGTGTGGTAGCCTTTTTTGAGGTTTTTAAAGACTTTGGTGATTTTTGAAGCTTTTCAAAAACTTTCCCGACACCGTGCTTCGCAAGACGAAAAAAATCGCAAGACAGCAAAACTCGCGGAACGAATTAATTTCGTCTTGCGAGGCACCACTGTAGTTAAAGCTATGGTTTTCCCAGTAGTGATGTATGGAAGTGAGTGCTAGACCATAAAGAAGGCTGATTGCCAAAGAATGGATGCTTTTGAATTATGGTGCTGGAGGAGACTCTTGAGAGTCCCCTGGACTGCAAGAAGATCAAACCTATCCATTCTGAAGGAAATCAGCCCAGAGTGCTCACTGGAAGGACAGATCCTGAAGCTGAGGCTCCAAGACTTTGGCCACCTCATGAAAAGAGAAGACTCCCTGGAAAAGACCCTGATGTTGGGAAAGATGGAGGGCACAAGGAGAAGGGGACGACAGAGGACAAGATGGTTGGATAGTGTTCTCGAAGCTACCAGCATGAGTTTGACCAAACTGCGGGAGGCAGTGGAAGACAGGAGTGCCTGGCATGCTCTGGTCCATGGGGTCACGAAGAGTCAGACAGGACAAAACGACTAAACAACAACAACAACAACAAGGCATAGGGATATTACTGTATCTAAATTTGCATTGTCAATTTGTGTTATTATTGTTATTATGGTTTTCTTGTTGTACATGTCTTTTTAGTTTGGTGTTTGTACTGACTGGAAAAAGTGAATAAATAAATGATAATAAAAACAACTCAGCAGTGGCAAAGCACACTTGTAAAATCTGATTGATCCCTTAAGTCCATACTTCACCTGGAATGATCCGATGCAGAGCTCCAAGGAGAGGCGAACCCCCACATTGGCGTAATCGGGAAGAAAATTGAAGATGATGTAATGCGTCCCGAACAGAGGGATGAGGAGCAGAGTCGACTTACAGAGGCGTCTGGGTTTGGGAGGAGAAATCGGGAGAAAAACACGGTCGGTCATGACACCCTGGCTTACAGAAAATGGGCACAAGATGGCGCTCTCAGCATCTAAATTGATCTAAAGTGACCGTCAGGGCCCATTGGAACTAGCAAGGCAGGAAATGAGGGGAGCCGCCAAATGGTGGAATTTGAGCCAAAGGAAGAGAGCAAATGGATCCTAGCTTTGTCCCCACCGCCTATCTGTTGATGGGAGGCAGCGCTAATGAAATATACTCGGAGTCAAGAGTGGATTTCATGCTCTTTATTCAGCTCATAGTGGTGAGGAGGAATGGAAGTTCCCCCAGAATGTCTGCTTTATATACATTATTTACACAATGGGCCCCAAGTGATTGGCTAATTCCGGGATTCTCCTGTAGGCCAATCAGGTTGCGGATTCACTTCCACCTGGAGCTGGATTGGGTGGCTCCTGTGGACCAATCATACTGCTGCATTGTTTAGGACCAATCAGACTGCTGCATTCTGAACCCTATTGTTCCAGGACCAATCAGACTGCTGCCTTTTGGATCCTATTCAACTCAGTACATAACAGCTAACAAGGAGGTGCAGCCCTTGGCACCTCCTGCACTGGTTGTAAGTAAAGAGGCAGGTGGGTGTGACGTTAACATATGAGAGTGCTGGAGGTGAAATAGTTAAACAGGTTACCCAATCAGAACCCAGGGGGTGGAGTCAGAGGGACTATAAAACCGGCTCTGGGAGAAGTGAAGCGGAGAGTTCGTTGGGAGGTTGGTTGGAGTGGGAGTGAATTGGGATAGAGTTTGTGGGTAGGTTGAGTTAGCGTAGCGAAATAAATTGAGTCAGGATCACTTAGGAGCTAGGAAGACAAGTAAATATCTGAGAGGTTGTTTAGTGAGGGAGAGCAGGTAGCGGAAGTTATAGGTCTGGATAGGCACCCCATGATTGTAATTGACCGATACCGTTTATGAAACCACACGCTTGTTAAACTGCAATAAATAAACAGAAGTTTATGTTCCAGTTTAACCCTGACTGGACTCACTATTGTACCAGGTAGGGCCTGGGTGGTGGCAGCGAGAAATAAAGTGGTGGCACAGGGATCAATAGACGGTGAAACGTCTGGGGACCTTGTGTGATTGCCACAGTGGGGACTGGCTGAGATTGGTGGATCAGTGCCCCATTCCCTCATACTCTGTGGCCATGAATCCTGTACATTTGCTAAAGGAACTTCCTTCCATCCTAAGCTTTCTACCACTCAGGCAGAGAGAGAGCAGGACCACACTACTGGCCGAGAGACTAGAAACATTTGGCTTCTCCTCTCCTCGAACTGTTTATACTCCAGTTTTATAACTAAGAACTAAGAGCCTGGGTTTGCTTGTTTTTCCTCCTCCCTCCTCCTCCATTTTTTCCTTTTGTGCTGTGCCTCTTAGATCGCAAGCCTGGGAGCAGACACTGCCTCATTACTGAAATGTACAAGCCATTCCGGGAGACTTTTTAGCCAAAGAGTAGGGTTTGTTTGTTTTTTTAATGCCTGAAATAAATAAAATAGTACATAAAACAATCATTCCCATCGTGCCACACCCCACCCCAGATGTTCTAGAATTAAAGAATGAAAAAGAAACATTCCACTACCTTCACCCCATTCCAAATTCATAGGAACCTCAGATCTTTCTCTAAGCCCTCTGCTCAAAAATGTGTTCACAGTATGCAGCCTGCCAGCACTTCATGCTGGCTGGTTCCACTCAATTCACCTGTACTGAGATGAGTTGTTGAAACTGATTTGTCCCGGGTCCAGTTTTTTCAGCAGGATTCTGATGATGTTGATAAAAAGAATGAAGTTGACCTGTGCCAGATGTAGGGAGAAGAGAGGGGAAGAGGGAAGAAGAGAGCACAGTTAATGTTAAGACAATATATATTTTTATTGATTGATGGATTGATTGGCCGCCCTTCACCAGATTTAAAATATATCCTCCGAAATGTTCTGGATGGAGAAATGATCTTGACGGCTGAGGATCTGCTTTGCAGGAATGGGGGAGAATATTCAAATCATATTCTGGAAAACATACTCTTTTTCTTTCTTTTCTTTTCAGATATATTTACAACGGTACCTCTGGATGCGAATGGGATCTGTTCCAGAGCCCCGTTCACATCCTGAAAGGAACGTAAGACGTGATTGCACATCTGCGCCTGTGCGGGTCGCGTTTCGCCACTTTCGCACATGCGCGTGACATCATTTTGAGCATCTGCGCATGTGTGAGCGGCGAAACCCGGAAGTAACGTGTTCCGTTACTTCCAGGTCGCCACGGAGCGCAACCTGAAAGCACTCAACCTGAAGCGTATTCATCCCGAGGTATGACTGTATTGATATTTGCCCAAAGATATACAAAAGTTCATACCCAATACAAGCACTCTCTTTTTCTATGGGAGTTAAAAAGAAAGAAAATTCTCAGGAAACCCTCTTCCGAGAAGGTTTGGCTTACTCTGCAATAAACCACGACATTAACAACAACAACAACCAAATAACCACTAGAACCACTGGATAAAACTAAGCTGTAGGCAAGATTTAAAAAGGCCTTGATCAGCAGAGACTGGGATGAAGCGTTAGCAGTCTTTGAACTTCTCTCTCTCTCTCTCTCTCTCTCCTTAACACACACACACACACACACAGAGTTATGAAAGCCAGAACTTCCCACCATTCAAATGTACAAAAAGGCAAATAGTATACATACCCCAACAGAAAATATAATGGGTCCTTTGATTAGCCACCAGTAAGGAGAACCTTGGTTTGCATCCCAGCAACTGGAAAGAACATGCAATGGTTAATGCAAATGAACGTGTGATCTTTTCTGAATATTGTATGACTGAATTATATATCCTTCGTCTTGTGTCTCCCTCTCCATTGGTATTAGTGGAGTGGAGGTGGTCCATTCTTAACAGGGCCGGCCCTACTATTTTACAGAGACAGCCGCCTCAGGTGACAGATGCTGGCAGCAGTCAAATGTGGGAAGACAGTGATTGTATATGCAACACAGCCGACCTGTGGCACCCTCTAAACAAGGCGGTCTTAAATTTGCTTTGTCTCATTTTTGCACCACTTTACAATCTCTTTTGTTTAAAAAGTCCTCCCCCAAAATTTGCCAGCATTTTACTGTGTATTTTTACACACTGTTTTACCCAAATCAGGGATGTCCCTGGAAAACAGGGACACTTGGAGGGTCTGAGACGAGAAATGCCATATGGGACTTCCGGTGTGGTGTAGTGGTTAGGAGCGGTAGACTTGTAATCTGGTGAACCAGGTTCACATCTCTGCTCCTCCACATGCAGCTGCTGGGTGACCTTGGGCTAGTCACACTTCTCTGAAGTCTCTCAGCCCCACTCACCTCACAAAGTGTTTGTTGTGGGGGAGGAAGGGTAAGGAGAATTTTAGCCGCTTTGAGACTCCTTCGGGTAGTGATAATGCGGGATATCAAATCCAAACTCTTCTTCTTCTTTACCTGAGCAATAATGATCTTCCAGGCAATTTTGTTTAATTTTTGTGTGTGTTAAGCATCAGCCCAACACTAATTTGACCACTTTAAGCCTGCACAACTTGTGATACACACACACTACAATCCAAACACAGGCCAACAGCCACCACTTGCCACGTTTGCTATAGCAGGTTGACCACCAAAAAGGAGTTGAGCACCTCCAGGGTGAGTAACCATGCATGGCTCATAGATCCATAGCTTGGTGGGCCAGTATTTCTGGAAGCCTGGATTACGTTCTTGTCTCCTGTGCCCCCCCCCTCATTTTTATGAATCTGAACATAGGACATGACTCACGAAATGTCTTCGAAATGCACCTTGACTAATATCCACAGTATGGTAAAAAACGTTGGAACACCTGTAGGATCGAAAACAGAGGACATGGTGATTTTTACAGATGCAATCAATCCACATCATTTTCCAAAACTGACCACCTACTTATTAAGGCGACAGATCCTTGATCTGTGTCTCTAGAGCAGGTGTGATGAACCTTTGGCTCTCCAAATGTTGCTGTACTACAACTCCCATCATCCCTGGCCATGCTTGTTGGGGGCTGATGGGAGTTGTAGTCCAGCAGCATCCAGACAGCGGTGGTGCATATGCCTGCGCTGTCCAGGGCGGGCGCGCTCCTGGGGGGGGCATGACATGCTCCCGAGGGGGAGTGTGGCACAGAGGGTGCCCTCCCAGGCACGGCATAGCCGCTCGGGTGCCCAGTGTTGGGATTCCATTCCATCCTTTGCCGCAGACATGGGATTGTTACATGTCTGTTTACATTCCAGCACAGATTGCTGGCGTGAGCATAACTTCCGCTTTGTATGGCTTTTGTTTTCTGTCTCTCTCTGAGAAGATGGCAAGGAGAGATGCCATGTTTCCTTTGTCCTGATTTATGTATAATAAATGTGTAGTTTAGTATGTGTCTACAGCCTCAAGCCTCTTCTGTTGCTCAGTTTACACTGCTGAGTCTGCAAGCTTGAGTCACTGATGCATGTCGGAGCAGAGGTTGATGGGTCTCTGCAGCGGTAAGGCTGAGGGGAGACGCTCCAGTTGGGGCCAAGCCAGCTGGCCTTTTTGACCCCCCATTCCAACATCGAGGTTATAGGCCCAGATCTGAGTAGGGCCCAGACTGGAGTAGGACTGCTGTTGGCTGCTGCAGCATTCCGGGGATTTATGAGGCAATGTGCAGCGTGCACAGGATCAGCGTTGAAGGGGAAATTCCAGCTAGGCAAAAGTACTTGGGGTGAAGCAGAGTTAGTGAGGGGAGTGGCCTGGATAAACATCTAGGGGCCAGACTTGGGGTGGCTTGGAGAGCAGCATTTGGCTTGCCAGCCTGAGGTCCACCACTGCTGCAAGTCCTCCTCACTTACCCCAGCCAAACAGCATAAGCCACCAGTAATATTTTCTTCCATGGGGAAAGGAGGACAGCAGCAGGCAGTTGAGGTAGAGAGCTTCCACCAGCAGCCACATGAAGTTAGCCATTGTGAAATATTGACAGAAAACCACCGAGATCTTGCATTCGGTCTAAAGAACACAGAAAGTGAAATTTCAATGAACACCTTCATTTGTAGGGCATTGCTTTTTTTTGTTTTTTGTTTGTGTGTGTGTGTTATTATTCTTACTATTATTTCTTCAATTTGCATACTGCCCTTCATCAAAGATCTCATGGCAGTTCACAGCATAGAAATACAAAACAGAAACACAAAAGACATAATATGAACAAGAACCAAACAAACCCAGAACCCTTCTATAGGTGCCCCGACGGCACAAACGATAGGCTCCCATATTGCACAAACTACCTCTGAAACTCAGGGGAGCTTCAGAAGGAAGTTATGGAGAGGGTAGAAACATTCATTCGAATCTGAAAGCAAAGGAAAAAACCTCCAGGTGTTGTGCAGTACAGCTCCCATAATCCATGGCCATTGTCCGTGCTTGCTGGGGCTGATGGCAGTTGGAGTACAACGTTTGGACACAGATTCTAACAGCATCCATGTGTAGGATTTGTAGATTTGGGGCATATCAGTTTTCAAATTCTCTACATTTTGCAGCAATTTGTGAATTTTATTTTTAAAAGATTTGTCAGCCTAACCTTACTGTATGCTTGTGAAACACGGGCCACTTATAAATGCCATCTCCAACTCCTCAAAAGATTCCATCAATGATGTCTCCAGAATTTTTACACATCACTTGGGAAGACAGGCAAACTAATGCCAGTGTACTGGAAGAGGCAAATATCACCCGTGTTGAAGCAATGATTCTTCAACATCAACTTCGTTGGACTGGTCATGCTTTGTGGATGCCTGGTTATCATCTTCCAAAGCAACAACTCTATTCTGAACTTAAAAATGGTGGTCAACAAAAGAGGTTTAGAGACTCTATCAAGGCAAATCTTTAAAAATGTAGAATAAACACCGACAACTAGGAAACACTTGCCTGTGAACGCTCCAATTGGCGAACAGCCTTTACCAAAGGTGTCACACGTTTTGAAGACACTTGAACTCAGGACGAAAGGGAGAAACGTGCTAAGAGGAAGGCATGCTTGGCAAAACCTCACCATGATCAACTCCCACCCAGAAACCAATGTCCCCACTGTGGAAGGATGTGTGGATCCAGAATTGGCCTCCACAGTCACTTATGGACTCATTGTTAAGACCGTATTCATGGAAGACAATCTTACTCGGCTATGAGGGATCACCGAAGAAGAAGAAGAAGAAGAAGAAGAAGAAGAAGAAGAAGAAGAAGAAGAAGAGTGCAATTTTCTTTCACCAATGTACACGTTTCCGCAAGCAGTTCCCCCTAATATAATGCATTTCGTATGCTATTTTTACTAATGAGTTCCTTTTTTATGTTTGCTTCCTCCCAGTGCTATTTTCCTAGATAAAGAAGTGCCAGAACTCACCATGAACGCCTCCCTTGTTCTCTTAGAACAGCAATGGTGCCCAACCTGAGGGGTGCTGGAACAGAGTTCTGGTGAGTTCTAGATGAAACCCCTGATATGTGCATTTTTGTAAACCTTGTTTGCAGTTGGAGGCAAGAAAGCTTCCGAATTTGCTGGAAACCAAAAGAGGTGAGGGCTATTTGTGGGTTTCCACAGGCATCTGGTGAGCACAGGATGCTGGACTAGATGGGCAAACTGGCCTGATCCTGCAGGCTCTTATGTTCTTATGTTTGCAGAACTACATCACAAAATTCAGATAAGTGTGAATTTTGAAAACTAGCTGTGTTTCGGTCTGCATTTTATCATCATTATCGTTATTATTAAATTTATACTCCAACTTTTTCCCTGACAGGGACTCAAGTTAGTTTACAGATTAAAAAATGAAAACAGCTAAAAACAAAATGTTTGGGAAAATGCTGATTTGATAGATTCGGCATTAAATGAGTGTTGAGTTGCTCTTTTCCTCCCATCCCTCTCAGGGACTTGTTATTCCCAGAGAAGTGGTGGTGAGTCAGGGACATTCAGACTCGGCAACCAATTCATGAAATTGAGCTGCTGTGTTCCTAAGGCCTGACACCCAGCCAAGGCTGTGAAGATTGTATTCTTGTTAATAAAAAGTTAACTCCGACTTTGAATGGTGTGATTTACTGCTGGCTCACTTTGTGACAGACTCTGTCTCCAGCTGAAAGCAGAATGCCAGATTACATGAAGCTTTGTTCTGCTAGAACCAGGCAGTTGGTGTGTCCCCCCCCTCCCTTTAGGTTCTTCAGAAGGTTCCCAGGCTATAGTTTGTGCTTTAGGAGAAGGAGCAAGCAGAAGAAAGCAGCCCTGGTACCCTTGTGGCCATGACACACACAGATGAAAACCAGAGATACAAGCAAGTCACCTTACCGTGGAAAAGCTACAATAATCAACATCTTCTGTTTTGAAAAGAACCTCATCCTTGACGAAGACGGCAATGGTCTTCAGGATGAAGGTGAAAAAGAGATGGACATGGATGTAGTTTCTGGGGCAACGGAGCCTCCTGCAGGAGCAGAACATAAGAGGCTGAGAGCAGAAGCTAAGAGACCGTCAGTGTCAATCCTATGCTTGTCTACCTAGTAAACTTAAGTAGTAGTAATAGTCGTCATCATCAAAATTTTATTATTTATACCCAGACATTCTGGCCGGCTTCCAATGCATATAAAAACACCAAACATTAAAAAACTTCCTGATACAGGGCTGCCTTCAGATCTCTTCTAAAATGTGTGTAGCTCCTTGACATCTGATGAGAGGGTGTTCCACAGGGCGGGCACCACCACCGAGAAGGTCGTCTGCCTGGTTCCCTGTAACTTCACTTCTCACAGTGAGGGAACCGCCAGAAGGCCCTCGGAGCTGGACCTCAGTGTCCGGGCTGGACAAGGGGGTGGGGACGGTCCTTCAAGTATACTGGGACAGAGACCATTCAGGGTTTTAAAGGTCAGCATCAACACTTTGCTCGGAAGCACACTGGGAGCCAATGTAGATCCTTTAGGACTGGTGTTATATGGTTCTGACAGCCACTTGCTGTCAGCAGTCTAGTTGATGTGATAAAAGATAGCTCAGTGTTGAGGCAGAAATGGAATCCCTTTGGAGGAAGGGATTCTCCTAAAGTCATATACCTCTCGTGATTCACCCCTCCCTCAGCACAGCATGCTACCTGTCAGGTTCCCATGAACATACCTGAATGCGATGAGGACCATGATGGCCATAGCAAGGGAGGTGGTGGAGATGCTGTAGCCCACAGTGTAGATGGTTTTGACGGTTGTCAGGTAGGCATGCTGAAATGGAAGGAGAACAAGGGCATCGACAGGATGAATCTTATTACAGAAAAGTATTGGATAGCCGTTACTAGACAAACCCAAAATATTGAACCATTTGAAAGATGCTGTACTAGAGGAGGATTTGGCGGTAACGTTGAACTATCTCCTGCAAAATAAAAATGGCTAAATCATGTGGGGGGGGGAGCCACCAGCAGCAGCCCCAGTCTCAGAATGGTTTGAAAGAATATGGGATATTGTAAAGTCGATTGAATACATGTCCTACAATAGAGCAATGAATGTACAAACAAAGAGATTCTTGCAAAGAGGGGCACCATCGGTTATGATCTGGGAGGATAAATGCCCTGTGGTCTGTTATGCAATGGTCTGAGAACCTCACTGGCCTGGCTGCATTTGAACATCAATTTCATGTGGATATCTGTTTGGACATCTGGAGGCCATACGTTAACTTATATGTTTGACTTAAGGTATATGTATTGGTAGTGTGCGGGTGGCACTGTGGTTTAAACCACTGAGCCTCTTGGGCTTGCTGATCGGAAGGTCGGTGGTTCGAATCCATGCAGCAGGGTGAGCTCCCATTGCTCTGTCCCAGCTCCTGCCAACCTAGCAGTTCAAAAGCACAGCAGTGCAAGTAGATAAATAGATACCGCTGTGGTGGGAAGGTAAACGGCATTTCCGTGTGCTCTGGTTTCCGTCACGGTGTCCCGTTGTGCCAGAAGCGGTTTAGTCATGCTGGCCACATGACCTGGAAAGGTGTCTGTGGACAAACACCAGCTCCCTCGGCCTGAAAAGCGAGATGAGCGCCACACCCCATAGTTGCCTTTGACTGGACTTAATCGTCCAGGGATCCTTTACCTTTACTTACAAGTATTGGTGGCTTCTGTGCCCACTGATGGTGGGGTTTTGTTATTTCTTATTTGTTTAATGCATTTCTATCCAACTCTTAAGCCAGGAAGGTTCCCATAGTGACTACATACATCCAATTAAAGCAGGATTGTCCCTGCTCACAGGCTTACAATCAGAAGAAACACGACACACTGGTCTCCCAGGGTAAGAGGCTGGGAGGAGAAAGGAAAAATACCAGGTGAGAGCTGGGAGGAGCGACTATCTTCTGCAGGTGGTTGTAAGGGCTAAGAATTACTTTTAAGAGAGGACTCCATCTTGCACTTATTTTGTTTGAATTTTTGTAACCGCTATTTTAATGTATTATGGAAAACTTTAATAAAAATCTAATTGCCAAAGAAACACAACAACACAAGGTAAAGGGGAACAGGAGAGGTGGAGAATGAAAACTCAGGCACCAATTCTTAAACAGTTATTATTAGTACTATTTGTAAATTATTTCTCTCTCTCTCTCTCTCTCTCTCTCTCTCTAACACACACACACACACACACACACACACACACTTCTTTCCCCTTCTCTTTCTTTTTGCTAACTTTGTAAGTATTTTCTTTTTAAGAAAGAAAATAAATGCTTTTAAATAACTAACGATTCTCTGTGGGCTTTAGCTACTGTTCCAAAACACTACCCGCTTCCCGTTGCAATGAAATATTGCAAATAGAAAGCAGATTTGAGGCTTAATGGTCAATTATAAGCAAACGGCAGACAACAATAACAAGTGTGAGCCACAACAATGATTCAGATTTCCATTCTACTGCTTGGAAAAAGATGTGCACTTTTGAACAGGGAACACAGTGTGCCTTTCAGACCACTGTGGATAATCTTTCCTTTGTGGTTGTTTGTTTGTTTACTGCCGCCATCCCACTCTTTGGCCCCGGAGGGTTTCCAGCAAACAATTAAATATTGAAACTACTAGGTTAAAAAAAAGCAAAAACAACAACCCACAGGAACAGAGCATATAATTATAAAATAGTGGAACGGTAAAAACAAATACCATAGAATCACAGAATTGTAGAATTGTAGAATTGGAAGGAATTGCTGGAGGAGACTCTTGAGAGTCCCATGGACTGCAAGAAGATCAAACACATCCATTCTTAAGGAAATCAGACCTGAGTGCTCACTGGAAGGACAGATCATGAAGTTGAGGCTCCAATACTTTGGTCACCTCATGAGAAGAGAAGACTCCCTGGAAAAGACCCTGATGTTGGGAAAGATGGAGGGCACAAGGAGAAGGGGACGACAGAGGACAAGATGGTTGGATAGTGTTCTCGAAGCTACAAACATGAGCCTGACCAAACTGTGGGAGGCGGTGGAAGACAGGAGTGCCTGGCGTGCTCTGGTCCAGGGAGTCACAAAGAGTCGGACACGACTAAACGACTAAACAAACAAACAAAAAAGAATTGGAAGGGACCATGAGGGTCATCAAATCAAACTCCCTGCAATGCAGGAATCTTTTGCCCCACGTGGGGCTCAAACCCACAATTCTCATGCTATAAACAGATGAACAATCTGGGCCAAGCAAGCATAAACTCCTGAAATTCTTCAGGTATAGATTCCAACAAATCTTCAGAAATATTGTGTGCTCTACACTGAACAACCAAACGGTTTTGAACCTCAGCATTCCTCCCTGCAGCCTGCTTCAAAAACAGCAGTTATTAGAGATAGTTTTTTAGTTTTCGAAACCTCAGAGGAGGCAGGAACACCACTGAGCTCATAACCTAGAAGCCTTGGAGCCAACCGTCTCAGCATCAGCAAGCGCCAGGGGGTCCCCAAGAGGGTTTCTAAGCTTCCCAAACAGAGCTCTGCCACTATTAGTTTGGAGCAAATGTGTAGGAGTGGCCCAAACCTCTGAAGAGAAGCAGGAGATTAAAGATATAAGATATAAAGAGTAAAGATATAAAGATATTAAAAAAGCATGAAGACCAGTCTTCCACAGGACAGGAAAGGTATGGTGCTTTGTTCAACAAAAATATAAAACATGGCTGGCGAAACCTGTGGCCCTCCAGGTGTCACACCAACCCCAGCTCATGTGGATGACGGGCAAGGATGAGAAAACCTGCAATATCTGGATGGCAACAGCTTCCCAGCCCTGGTACAAAACCAAGGAAGTGGCCCAGACTTTGTGGAATGTATCATCTCTGGAGCAGTCAAATACAACATTTCCTGTTTGCCCAGAGTGGACATAGAGGGGAGTGTTGCTCCAGCCAGGAGGACTTCCTGTCTTACCTGGTCTGGAGCATCCTCCCCCTGTGTGTGACCAGGTAGGTGGGCATGACCCTGGCAGCCCCTACAAAAGGGCCAGTCACACAGCCATCTTCCCTTCTCCCTTCTCTCTCTTGACTCTTCCTGATGCTCTTATGCTGTCTGCTGGCTCTCAGCCAGCAGCACATGGGCTCATTCACCACATGGGATGAACCCACACTCTCTTCTGTAACTACAAGCTAAAGCCTGCCTTCAGGGGTCATACTGTGAACTGAATGTAAGTAAACTTCTTATTACTTTTAAAAGAAGACTGTTGTATCATTATTGTTTTAAAGAGGGAGTTAAAGGAGTTAAAGGGAGTTAAAGGAGTTAAAGTTAAAGGGAAAGTTTATGGGACGTGGGTGGCGCTGTGGGTTAAACCACATTGCCTAGGGCTTGCCAATCAGAAGGTCAGCGGTTCGAATCCCCGTGACAGGGTGAGCTCCCGTTGCTCGGTCCCTGCTCCTGCCAACCTAGCAGTTCGAAAGCACGTCAAGTGCAAGTATATAAACAGGTACCGCTCCGGAGGGAAGGTAAATGGCGTTTCCATAAGCTGCTTTGGTTCGCCAGAAGCAGCTTAATAATGTTGGCCACATGACCTGGAAGCTGTGCGCTGGCTACCTCAGCTAATAAAGCGAGATGAGCGCCACAACCCCAGAGTCGCCCGGACCCTTAAAGGGGAATTTACCAGGAAGAAATCCAATCTGGACAAGCCAGACTGGATTGCTTAACTCAAGAGATGCTAATGAATCTACCAACTAGCTTTCTGCAATGTACAGGGAATGTGCTCTGCTACTAGCTCACTAGTGTGAGTGAGGAAGTATAATATTTAATCAATATATCCTTTCCTACTATAAACAACATTCCCACAGACTTGAGGCTGGTAGAGCTGGGATTGGTTCACACCAGCAAGGCCTTTGATGTTTACAACAGAGCAGAACAGGGAGCTGTCCACCGGTTCCCTGACACCAGTGGTGCTGAAGCTGAGCAGTAGCCCTTGTAGGGCTACTGAGAATGTGTTGGGGACTTAGACCAGAGGCCTGGGTTAGGGAGAATGGTGCCTTTCTAGACTCTTGGGTCAGAAGCCAAACTAAGCACTCCTTTTGAATGGTAGCAATTTAATGCCAAAGCAGTGTAGTGGCTAGATCAGGAGAGGGGGACTTATGGCTCTCCATATGTACTTGTACTTTGGCTCTCAACAGGCCTAGCTGGTATGCCCAGTAGTCAGGGATGATGGGCGTTAAAGTCCAACAGCATTGGGAGAGCTTCAAAGTCACACTCAACTGTGCCAGGTTGATGGACTATATGGAATTGATAGAAAGGACTGGCAGAATCCGAAGCCAGGGAGAGGAGATAGTGGAAGATTACTGGGAAATTTAAAGTGTTTATTTAGAAGTATTGTTAAAGTAATGACTGTTAGAAAAATGGTGGAATGATATTTTATGGATTTAGCAGAAATGCTATAGTTGGGTGTATATAAGTAATTTACTTTTAATGGGAAATAAGGTTAAGATGTTGGAATGAATCTATGTGATTTTAGCAAAAATGTAACAAAGATTTAAGAAAAATAGACTGTTAATTGGTGAAAAGAGGGAAAGTTAACTTATATTAAGATCAAGATAAATTTTCAGGATAAAAATTTTGAAGAGAGGGAAAGGATTTGCTGAAATGGATAGTTAGAATACAAAAAAGGGAGGTGCGAGGAGGTCAGGGAAACAAGCAAATGAAAGATAAGTTATGGGAAGGTTCGATTTGTTCCCCCCCCTTTTTTTAATTGTCTCTATTTTTCTGGTTTTTATTGTGATGTGTTGTTTTGCTATTGTTTAATTTGGTGTTTTTTCTTTGCTTTTTTGTAAACTTTAAACCTTAATAAATACTATTTAAGCCAAAGTCATACTCAACTGTGAACCTAAGGCAATCTCTCTCTCTCTCTCCCCTTCCCTCCCTCCCTCCCTCTGTCAAACCATGTACACCACCCTGAACTAGGGGGATAAATTTGATTCAGTTCACATTTAACTCAGAACTGACCAAATCCACACTTTCCAAAAGGAATATGTGGACCAAAATTCAGCCATCCTTCAAAATTTACTTTTCTTGGAATTTTGGAAAGTCATTCTCCTGCCAAGTACTGTGTACAAGAACGAATACAACTCACACAAAAACATCACGTTATGGAAAATTGTTTTGAAAAACAGAAGTGTATATTAGAAAGTGACACTAAAATCTGACGGGTTTTGATGAAAATAAATTGCATACAGGTGTGGAAATGTAGAGAACAGAACCTGAGATTTGAAAGAAGAGAAACAGGAAATTATCACACTCACCGAACCCTATTCTGAATTTCTTGGACGAAATGGGGGGATGTAAGAAATACGTTCCCCTTCATGGATCACTGCCTTGTAACGGCGAAAGGGCTTGGATAACTCCAAGACGCTATGAGCTATGCTGTGCAGGGCCACCCAAGATGGACAGGTCATAGCTGAGAGTTTAGACTAAATGTGATCCACCTGGAGAAGGAACTGGCAAACCACTCCAGTATTTTGCCAAGAAAACTCCATGGACATAAATAAGGAGAAGCTTTGAGAAGAAAGTGAGAGTTTCCAAGGGATGCACTGATTCATGGGGTCACAGAGAGTTGAACACGACTAAGACAACTAAACAACAACAAAGAAACACGTTAAGTGTGGTACCAGAATAGTAGGAGGCAGAGTCCTTCCCTGACTTGAAAAGTGTGCCAGTCCAAGAGATTGTGATGGCCTGGGACTTGGGCTCAGACTCGGAACCAGAGGAGTCTCAGTCTGCACCGGATCCTCTACCTCAGGTGGCACCTGAATAAAGTCTGGGGCCTGATTCTGAAGAGTCCCAGTCTGCACAGGTTCCCCTGCAACAAGCACCAGCTGGGCTGAGTCAGGGGCCTGAGCCTGCCCTGGCTCCAGATGCAGGGATGACCTTGCTGCCTTCAGCTGGGCCATCACTTACAGCTGCTCCACTACCGGTTTAGTCAGGGGAGGCTGAGGCGGCCTCTGGGTCTAGTAACCCATGGATGTCTCCCGAGCTGCAGAGACTAAGGTCTGAGAGAAGTAGAGACCTGAGTACTTGCAGGAGGAGTGCTCGCCTTCGGGCGAAACAGGGAAGTGAGTCGCCGGGGGATCAGGACCTACCGCTACCCCGACAAAGATAAAAGGCTGCCGGACCCTGCCCCAGGTTGCGGGAGCAACATTGCTGTATGCTAAATCCTGCCTGAGATCCTGTACCTGTCCTTGCCCGGTTTCCTGCCTTGGCCCTGTTGGACTGACTCCTAGCGGTACCTCTGGATTCTGGTCCAGTCCTGGACCGCGTTTCATGGGTTACCCCCAGGTCCAGCACAGAGATCCCCTATCAGCAAAGAAACTCGAACTGCAGAGTTAGTTCAATGCCAACTTTTTGATGCAGCATTCCTTGCCATCCATCATGCTCTGCCTAATCGCAGGAAGCTTTGATCTCCTACAGAAGTTGCCCCCTTCCCCCCCTCTTCCCCGCCTCCCAAATACCAGGGAGTATCATTCTGAGGTACTTATTCAGATCTACCCACCTCATAAAGAGTAACCTCATCTTCCACTGGACATGCTGTGGAATAGGGTGGAAATGGTTCAGACCAGCCCTGAGCTGTGCAGCTTCTTTTCACTGAGCCTGTGAACAACAAGGGGGAAAGAGGTCAGAAATGTAAGATGAATTTATTATTTCGGACACAGACCAGTTCCAGCTCACACACAATATCAAGGAAATCATAAAACACGATAGGGATAACATTCGAATTTGCAATTGGGTATAACAGGGACAAGACAGATATAGCAGCGGTTGAAAATATATAAGTTAAGAAGAAGAATGGAGAAGGAAATTGACCGAATATGCAGAATTGGACAAATTGACTGGGAAGATTCGATACCAGAAAGATCAAAAGTTTATCGAGGACTGGGGGAAATTTACAGAATATCTGAAAAATATATGTGATGCACAGACAACACTTGTTGGTTTTGAAGAGACTCTGTGAAATAGTAAGAAATACTGCAAAAAAGAGAGTAAAAGGAAAAGGAGTGGGGAAAGGCAATATCATGTTTAGAAATGCGTCAATAAATAGAAATTTTTCGAAAGATTGACAGAGAACCTGAGGGAAGTCAAAAATTGAAGCATGAGTGTAAAATAATTTGTTGACTGTATAAAACTTGTTTGGAAAATGAATAAAAATTATTTAAAAAAGAAAGAAAATATATAAGTTAAATCTTAATCACTAAAACATAACCTAAAATTGTCATTTAAGGCCTTAGTCATTATGGTAGCACAGCGTGTTCCCTAAGTTTTATGGCTGTCGCACAGAATTCGACCATCCTTAGTGTGATTTCTGAATCCTTGTCCTCTACCAGGGATTTTAGACATTTAAGTTCGGACCTGTTTGGGGATTTTTGTATAGCAGGGATGATAAGTGCCAAGCGTATATGCCCATAGAAATGACAGTGTAACAAGACATGAGAGACAGTTTCTACCTCCATCAAGCCGCAGGGGCAGACTCATTCCGCGTATGCTTTACCCTCGAATCAATAAGGCAGATGGCAGCACCTTGAATCTAGCGAGGGTAAACGACCGTCTGTATTTAGCTATTTGTAATTTTGACAAATATATTGCTGAGGTGAACCCTCTCCCGTTATCTTTCATTGCTGGGTTCATCTCACTCACGTGACATTGCAGTTCAACATCCCAAATTCGTTGGAAGATTATAGCTCTAGCTTTTTCATAACCAACAGCTATCAGGGCCTGTGGGAAAAACCCCAAGCCTCTTAGCTTTTTGCACAGTGTAGCTTTCCATTTGGATTGGTAGGAATCCAGTAGGGTTATGGAAACCAACCCGACAGGGGAAAATGTAAGATGGGATTCTCTCAGTTCTAAACTGCCTCTTCTGAGTCCTATTCTCCTGCAAACTGTGGGTCTCTGCTGCTCATTACAACACTTGAGGCACCCCTACCATTAACCATATTTTTTGCTCCATAAGATGCACCTGACCATAAGACACACCTAGTTTTTAGAGGAAAGGGGGGAAAGCCCCTTTTTTGAGGATCAGCTCAAAGTTGTTGAGCTTACTTTGCAAAGGGGAAAAGTCCTGTTTTTATGGGGTTCAACTCACAGTTCCGCAGCTTCTTTAGGAAAGGAAAGGGAGCCGTTTCAACAGTTTCCAGACAGATAATCTAATCAGCCAGTCACATGTCGCTGGGGGAACAAACAGCCTCCATCTGCAGAACATTCAACAATGGAGGCCTGGGCAAGGCCAGCGATCAACCACACATTTGCCCCATAAGACGCGCAGACATTTCCCCTTACTTTTTAGGAGGAAAAAAGTGTGTCTTATGGAGCGGAAAATACAGTATGTCACTTCTGCGAAAAACCAGAAGTTTCACAGGAAACTGTGCTCTTCGAAACATTGGGGGGAATTACTGAAAAAGATACCTCAGGTAACAATATGCAAAGGGTTAAGCGCAGTTGTAAACAATGCCTACAAGCAAATCAACACAACGAGGGTCATGGCAAGCTACAGCCCCCTCACCTGGATGCTTTGTGAAGTGGAGAAGGATGCCCGGGCAGGTAAAGGTGAGCGTTTGTCCAGCATTTGTATCCGGCCAGCACAGGAGTTGGTCCCATATTCTCTTGCAACCTTGCAAAGGGAGGGGAAAAGGCACTTTGAAATCTCACATCTCTTCGCCATGCTTGGAAATGGGAATACAAAAGCAAATAGGACTTTCCCACTGTCCTGAACTGAGCCTAGAGGCTGATTTGTAACCTCTGGAGCTCCTTCAATATCATGGCTATAATATTCCTAAATCCACTGGAGGGCATCTCAACCAAAATGTCTAAAAATAGCATGCTTTCAAGGACCCAGAAGTTATTATCAGGCTAGATGTTGGCAATGGGGACAAGACCACAAGGGATGAGGGGAGAGAAAAAGCTCTTGGTATTAGTTAAGCCATCCATATACAGTGGTACCTCTGGTTGCGAACAGGATCCATTCCAGAGCCCTGTTCGCAAACTGAGCAGAACGCACCCCGCGTCTGCACATGCGCGGGTCGCAATTCGCCGCTTCTGCGCATGCGCATGACGTCATTTTGAGGGTCTGCGCATGCGCGAGCAGTGAAGCCCAGAAGTAACCCTTTCCGGTACTTCCGGGTTGCCGTGGGACGCAACCTGAAAACGCTCAACCTGAAGCAAACGCAACATGAGGTATGACTTTAAGAGGGAATATGGGAGGAGCTAAGAGCCATTCAAATGAGACACTTTCAGATGCTTTAGGTTTAGGGAAATTCTTCCCAGAGAGTTTTGGTGAAACCTGTAAACACATGAAATGCTCTGTTTGAATGTCTACTAGCTGCTCCCACATTCCTTCTTAGAACTTGTCAAAATCATCGGATGGAGTGACTTCAGCTGCCTTTTCTTCCATTTCCCCTGTTTAAGTTAAACTATAGAAATAGTTAAACTATGGAACTTGCTCTCTCGGGAGGCAGTGATGGCTACCAAGATGGATGGCTTTTGATGATGTTTAGACAAATTCACAGAGGATAAGCTGATCAATGTCTACTAGCCAGGACGGCTTTGCTTCGTCTCCATGATTGGAGGCAGCTCTGCTTCTGAATACCAACTGGAATACTGCTAGAAACTTCATAAGGAGAGAGTGCTCAAGTCCAGCAAGCATCTATTTGGCCACTGTGAGAACAGGATACTGGCCTGATCCCTTAGATTCCTCTCCCCCCCCCTTTTCCCCCTTATGTTTGGGTTTTTAAATACCTAGCCTGATGGAGAACTCTGCAGAACTAGGAAGCTTGTGCACTATTTTGTGGCATTTTGGTTGGCTTAAAATCAAGGGTTTGCTCTAATAGGGACATTGGGATTTCCCTTATGAAATCCTGGCTCTACCTTTACGTTTTGTGCGACTGATGTAATGTACTCACTGAAGTTCACCCCAACCAGTAACCAGGCAGCCTCATTCTGGACCCCTTGAAACACCCAAACTATATTAAAGGGTGTTCCCGCACCAGGTGAAAGTTAGTAATCAAACTGCAAAGTGAATGAAGGTAACACCAGGCTCCAGGACCTAAGCAAAACACAGGCTACACAACTGTGACCCACCCCAACACCTTAATGCTGACTAGGTAAAGGGACCCCTGACCATTACATCCAGTTGTGGACAACTCTGGGGTTGCGGCGCTCATATCACTTTATTGGCCAAGGGAGCCGGCGTACAGCTTCCGGGTCATGTGGCCAGCATGACTAAGCCGCTTCTGGCAAACCAGAGCAGCACACGGAAACGCCGTTTACCTTCCTGCTGGAGTGGTACCTATTCATCTACTTGCACTCTGTGCTTTCGAACTGCTAGGTTGGCAGCTGCAGGGACCAAGCAACGGGAGCTCACCCCATCGCAGGGATTCGAACCGCTGACCTTCTGATCGGCAAGCCCTAGGCTCTGTGGTTTAACCCACAGCACCACCCATGTCTCTCTAAAATAGATACATGCGGGCTACTTGCACACCCCTCTCTGCCCTCCATCCCTGCAAGTGAAAGGCATGATCAGAGTTTGAGGACATGTTGTTTCAGCCAAACAAAGGACACTTAAGGAGGGTGTGAAGCAGAAGTGGTGAGGGGCATGGCTTGGGGTGAGCCTCAAGAGCTAGAATGGAGGTCCCAAGGCATGAAATTTCCCAACCTTGAGATATCCAATGCCTCTCCAGAGATCCAAACACTTCTTCTTCTAAGGTACCTGCTGTTTCATTCATGTGCTGCTGAATCTCCTTGAGGCATTCACTCTCGTTTTTCTTCCATTCTGTTAAAGCTTCGCATTCTGCTTGAGACATTCCAAGACCCTGGAAATAGGGGGAAAATAAGAGGCACATTGATACAACCCCACCTTCTTTCCCTCTCTGCACACCCACAAAAAAAACCCACCCTTCTTATAGTACAATCCTAAACACGGTCCCATCTGCACCATACATCTAAAGTATTATGATACCACTTTAAACAATCTCGGCTGCCCCCAGCAAAGAAACCTGGGAACTGTAGTTTGCTAAAGACAACGGGGAGAGTTGTTAGGAGATCTTATTTACCTCCTAAACCTACAATTCCCAAAGTGTTCTATTGGTTAATCCCTCTTCCCTGGTAACTCTGGAAATTGTAGCCCTGTGAGGCAAATAGCAGTCCCCTAACAACTCTCAGCATCCTTAGGAAACTACACTTCCCATGATTCTTTGGGAGGGGACCTATGGCTGTTTAAAGTGGTACAATAGTGCTTTACATGTATAGTGTCCATGTCTACTCAAATACCCCTCCTACTGAAAAATACCCCTCGGGTGCCAGGCCGAGAGTCTGGGGCAGAGATTTGGAGTCCGGGGATTGAAGAGCCAGGCCAGCCGACAGCCACTGCCAAGAGGAGCAGGGCTCATTGGAGCGCCACAGGTTTTTCTGCTGCGGGCATTAAGGTGGCAGGCCAGCTTTGCCCTCCTGCGTGCCTGGGATTGGTGGGCCGTCGAGAGGCACACGCACACTGCTCACATGAGGCGCGCAGCTTCTGTCCCAAGCCTCTGTGGGGATTGCTCTCCTCCCTCCACCCACAGCAGTATGGGAGAGAGTTGCAGTCCCCCCCAAAAAACTGAACAACTCCAAGCTGCCCCCCTAAAAAAGCTCAGAAACTTTGGCCTGCCCCCTGTGGGATGTAAGAAGCAGGTGCAGTCAAACACAACATGGCTAGAGTAGACATGAAGGTTATCTCAGTCCTCCAGCCGGAACTTCCTGCTTTCCAGGACTGAGACGAAACTTCCTATATGTAACTTGAGATGGGTGTGGCCTCTCCTGAAGTAGGAAGAACCAGAACCACAGGCTGGCGAGCATCTTGTCTCTATCGATGCCATCTTAACAACAGCACTACTAAGATGCACCCTTGGCTCCAGGCCAAGAGAAGAAAAGGGGGGCTTTCTCCCATAAGGAGATAGTCACCACATTTAAACTATGTTATAACCTTTTAAGTCTGCCTTCTGGGAACCTTTGTGTGAACAGATGATTAGGTAAAGGTAAAGGTACCCCTGCCGGTACAGGCCAGTCTTGCCAGACTCTGGGGTTGTGCGCCCATCTCACTTAAGAGGCCGGGGGCCAGTGCTGTCCGGAGACACTTCCGGGTCACGTGGCCAGCGTGACAAAGCTGCATCTGGCGAGCCAGCGCAGCACACGGAACGCTGTTTACCTTCCCGCTGTTAAGCGGTCCCTATTTATCTACTTGCACCCGGGGGTGCTTTCGAACTGCTAGGTTGGCAGGCGCTGGGACCGAATGACGGGAGCGCACCCCGCCGCGGGGATTCGAACCACCGACCTTTCGATCGGCAAGCCCTAGGCGCTGAGGCTTTTACCCACAGCGCCACCCGCGAGTAAATGTTTTATACTTTACAGAAGACTGTGTAGCGTCTTATTTCAGGAGGAATCAAATGGGGAAAATACCAGGAAATATTTGCAGAGACTCTAACGAGTCTGAGCAAGCTATCTGCTGTGCCTGTGTTTAAAAAAGGGGGAATGTTAACTCTGCTGATTTTTTTGAACTTGTAAAGACAAGTTGGGATAGGATATCTTAGACAATATATCCTCCCCCGCATCCCTAAACATTCCCACACACCCCCAGTTGGGGGCTCTGGGCAGTTTTTTGCACCCCGGCACCACATATGCTAAAGACAGCCCTTCCAACTGCTTACAGTGCAGGAATATGCAGCTGTCCCATACAGGGATCGAACCTGCAACCTTGCTGTTATCAGCAACAGGCTCTAAAGAATTGAGCTATGCAACCTCTCCTTCCTGGAGACCACCACCTTTTAGGAACACAAAGGATGCTGCCTTATGCAGAATCAAAACAGTACTCCATCAAGTCCAGCTTTATCTACTGTGATGGCCTGGGACTCGGGCTCAGACTCGGAACCAGAGGAGACTCAGTCTGCACCGAATCCTTTGCCTCAGGCATCATCTGAACCAAGTCTGGGGCCTGATCCTGAAGAGTCCCAGTCTGCACAGGTTCCCCTGCAACAAACACCAGCTGGGCCGAGTCAGGGGCCTGAGCCTGCCCTGGCTCCAGATGCGGGGATGACCTCGTTGCCTTCAGCTGGGCCATCACTTATAGCTGCTCCACTACCGGTTGGGTCAGGGGAGGCTGAGGTGGCCTCTGGGTCTAGTAACCTACTGACATCTCCCGAGCTGCAGAGACTCAGGTCTGAGAGAAGGAGAGACCTGGGTACTCGCAGGAGGAGTGCTCGCCTTCAGGTGAGACAGGGAGGTGAGTCAATGGGGGATCAGGACCAGCCGCTACCCTGACAAAGATAAAAGGCTGTTGGACCCCACCCCAGGTTGCAGGAGCAACACTGCTGTATGCTAGATCCTGTACCTGTCCTTGCCTGGTTTCCTGCCTCGTGTCCTGCCTTGGCCCCGTCAGACTGACTCGCAGCAGAACCTTCGGATTCTGGACTGGTCCTGGACCGCATTTCACGGGTTACCCCCGGACCCAGCACATCTACAGTGACTGGCAAAGGCTCCCCAGCTTTGCCTGGCATTGCAAGAGATTGGACCTGGGACCTTACATACTCTGCTTATGACCTTTCCTCAATTGTCAGTCTGATGCAGCTTTTGCCATTTTTTACCCCTGCAAGTTTGGGAAAGCTTTGTAAGGCTGGCCCTCCATCCCTTAGCGAACAAGTAAATGAGCACCACCAGGGGCTCTTTGCTAATTCCACTTTTGGACCACCTGATTTTCTGTGAATCACAGCCAATTTAAAACCTAGACAGGCATATACAGAGGATGTTATATATTAATTTGCTTTTTAAAAGGGCAAAGATTTGTTCCTCCAAATGTACCAAGCCATCTACAGATGACCATATAACACCAGTCCTGAAAGACCTACATTGGCTCCCAGTACGTTTCTGATCACAATTAAAAGTTTTGGTGCTGACCCTTAAAGCCCTAAACAGCCTTGGACCAGTATACCTGAAGGAGCATCTCCACCCCCATCATTCAGCCCGGACACTGAGGTTCAGCTCCGAGGGCCTTCTGGCAGTTCCCTCCCTGTGAGAAATGAGGTTACAGGGAACCAGGCAGAGGGCCTTCTCGGTGGTGGCGCCTGCCCTGTGGAACACCCTCCCATCAAGGAAATAAACAACTACCTGACTTTTAGAAGACATCTGAAGGCAGCCCTGTTTAGGGAAGTTGTTCATGTTTGATGTTTTATTGTATTTTTACTATTTTGTTGGAAGCCGCCCAGAGTGGCTGGGGAAACCCAGCCAGATGGGTAGGGTATAAATAAATTATTATTATTATTATTATTATTATTATTATTATTATTATTATTATTATTATTCCCCCCTTGCATTCTGGGATTCAGCACATGGCTGCAAACTTTCCTTTTGGCCTCTGCTCCAGATTCTTTTGACTAGTCATGGCAGGATGCTACAACCCATTGATTGGTTCCTGTTAAGGGGCGGGAGAGAATGAGACCCAGAAAAATCAAAACACGGTGAAATCAACCTACTTGACAGGTGGCCTAGCTGATGCTGCTCGGCTCATTTCCACACCAGCGGGATAAATATTCAGCAAAGTTTCCAGATCTCTGGATCATATATTTTTTTCGGGTCACCAAGAGTGCAGAAGGCAATGACTCCCTAATACATGCGCTATTCATATTCACAGCCTTCTTCATTAATGAAGAGGCCCCCAGCCAAATACATGGCTGGAGATGGCAAATACTTTACCCACTGCAAGTCTTCTATTTGCCACGCTCCTCTCAATTCTGTAAGAACACTTTAAATCATCACGGCTTCCCCCAAAGAATCCAGTAGTTTGTTAAAGGTGTTGGGAGTTGCTTAGAGACCCTTTCCCCTCTCATGGAACTACAGTTCGCAGAGTTCTCTGGGAAAATGGATCGGTTGTGAAATTCTCCCCATCCCTAATCTAGGGGCACCCAAAAGGTTTAGTATAGCACAGACTCCCCTCTTGGGACAGTGTTCCCAGCACTTGAGAAAAACATTGCATGAATTAAGCATTTAGTTTATATGCTGAACTGAAACTTTGGGACTCTCTTGGGCATCTTTCAGATTTTGCTTCCGAAATAAAGCTCTGAGGCACACTCTGAATGAAGTCAGACCTCAAGCTTTGGCAGTGGGTTTTAAATGGCAACTTGCCACTGCGAATATTTCCACAACCATCACACACACCCTCCCCTTCAGTCCTCAATTTATCCACAGCTGCAAATCTTGGGGACACTCTGAAATTAGGAGAACCTGCATCTGGAGTTTTTGCAAGCTAACTGACTGGAGAATTTATTTCTCCCAGATTTGCATCGCCGCAGATGGAAATGGTGATGGTGGAGTGGAAAGCGTAGGTGGATTTTGTAGACAAGATTGGCAATTTCCCCGATTACTTGATTTATATTTCAAATCATGTACAAGTGACCTTTAGCAGAATACCGGAAGGGGTGAGGTAGTTGGAAGGGCAGCCTGGAATAGAGTCAAACCATCAGTCCACCCAGTTCTGAATTGTCTACACTGACTGGTAGCAGCCCTTGAGGGTTTGGGGCATCTCCATGCCTATCCGTAGACGCCAGGACCACTCAGCAAGACATTTTAAGCAATACTCAAGGTGACAAACCAACAGATCACACAGAGTTGCCACTACATCCCCACGCAATGTTTCCCAAGCTCTGTCCCATCATTGTATCAGAACAAGCCCTTAAATTTCCTCATTTATTCCTCTTATCCTTAGTGCTTCTGAGAAACAGAACTGGAGCTCTGTAAATCAGAGTTTGCGTTCACAGGAAACATTCGCAGGTAAGCGCTGCAATTTGACAGTCAAAAGAAATCCCATTAGGGCACCTTTCTCTGCCCTTCTCTGAGCACCTCCTGCCAAATCAACGCCAAAAGAAAGAAAGGTTGATGCAATATCAAACAGGAATCTGATCCGAGCAGAAGTGGACAGATGCACGGGAACAACGACAACAAGACTTTTGGACTGTTTACTTACAAGAGACGGCAGAGTCAACAGGAAGAAGATCCATATATTTCCCGAGTTCATGTTGCAGGAGTTAGAGAGGCACCCCCACTTCCGAGCATCCCTCTCTCCTCTCTCCTCCCTATTGCCTGTTACTGATCTGAAGCACACAAATGACCAACAGAACCGGTGAATATGTGTAGTGGAAGTGAGGAGGGGGAGTGGTGGAGAGAGAGAGAGAGAGAGAGAGAGAGAGAGAGAGAGAGAGAGAGAGAGAGAGAGAGAGACTCAATATTATTAGCAACTCTCCTGGCTGCGATTGATTTGCCTTCCACCTGTGTGCATTCGGAGAACTCTGCCAATTACTGCCAACGGGAGCTGGCGGGTCCCTCAAAAATGCAACGCAAACAGCGACAACACAAGATGTGCACAGACCTGCTCAAGTTGACTGCTTTCATGCAAATCAATGCAACTTGCACATGCAGGAAACATATTAATTGGGAAGGAGCTGGATTGTTTGGAGGTATGGGTGAAGGGAGAAGGAAAGCAAATTTCCCCAACCTGGTACTGTGGGCTGATGCTTTGGACTACAACTCACATCATCTATGACCGTTGGCTATGTTGGATGTGCCTGATGGAAGTTGGAGTCCAACAACATTGGGAGATGATGATGATGATGATGATGATGATGATGATGATTATTATTATTATTTATTATTATTATTTATACCCCACCCATCTGGCTGGGCTTCCCCAGCCACTCTGGGCGGTTTCCAAAAAAAATACTAAAATACTGTAATACATCGAACATTAAAAGCTTCCCTAAACAGGGCTGCCTTCAGATGTCTTCTAAAAGTCTGGTAGTTGTTGTTCTCTTTGACATCTGGTGGGAGGGCGTTCCACAGGGTGGGTGCCACCACCGAGAAGGCCCTCTGCCTGGTTCCCTGTAACTTGGCTTCTCGCAGTGAGGGAACTGCCAGAAGGCCCTCGGTGCTGGACCTCAGTGTCCGGGTAGAATGATGGGGGTGGAGATGCTCCTTCAGATATACTGGACCGAGGCTGTTTAGGGCTTTAAAGGTCAGCACCAACACTTTGTGCTCAGAAATGTACTGGGAGCCAATGAAGATCTTTCAGGACTGGTGCTATATGGTCTCGGCGGCCGCTCCCAGTCACCAGTCTGGCTGCCGTGTTCTGGATTAGTTGTAGTTTCCAGGTCACCTTCAAAGGTAGCCCCTCGTAGAGCGCATTGCAGTAGTTCAAGCGGGACATAACCAGAGCATGCACTACTCTGGTGAGGCAGTCTGCAGGCATGTAGGGTCTTAGCCTGCGTACCAGGTGGAGCTGATAAACAGCTGCCCTGGACACAGAATTGACCTGTGCCTCCATGGACAGCTGTGAGTCCAAAATGACTCCCAGGCTGCACACCTGGTCCTTCAGGGGCACAGTTACCCCATTCAGGACCAGGGAATCCTCCACACCTGTCCGCCTCTTGTCCCCCCAAAACAGTACTTCTGTCTTGTCAGGATTCAACCTCAATCAGGTTGCGTCTCTGGACTCAGTCTCCCATCCCTGAGCATTGGAACACAGGAAGCCAACAGTGGCCCGTCTAGTCCAGTAATGTCTGCACTGACTAACAGCAGCATTCCAGGGTTTCAGATATTGGATATTCCCAGGGCTACCTGAAGATGCTGTGGTTTGAACCTGGGACCTTCTGCAAGCGAAGCTGGTGCTCTGTCATTGAGCCATGGCTCTTTCCAACCTGGGAGCCCTCCTGTCATCATTGAGGACTACAACTCCTGTCATCCTAAGGAGCATCTCTGCACTCATCATTCAGCCTGGACACTGAGGTCCAGCTCTGAGGGCCTTCAGGTGGGTCCCTCATTGTGAGAAGTGAGGTTACAAGGAACCAGGCAGAGGGCCTTCTCGGTGGTGGCACCTTCCCTGGAGAACACCCTCCCATCAGGTGTCAAGGAGATAAATAAATTGAAATACTTTATTGTCACTTGTACAACTTGTATACAGTGAGATTACACGAGCACCCCCCACTCAGCTCTCTTAGTCTTAATTCCCCACGTATACTGACGCACACCCACCAAACCCGAAACCCAGTTGCCCTGTTGTTATCTTTTCATTCAGCAGCCTAACAGCCCACGGATAGAAGCTGTTCTTTACCCTGTTGGTGAGCCTAATCATGCTTCTATATCTCCTGCCTGAGGGCAGGAGATCAAGAAAGTGCCGGCCAGGGTGTGAATGATCCCTGAGAGTTTTCTCACTCTCCTGAGGCAACTTTCTTCCGCTGTTTCATCCAGCGGATTCACGGGACAGCCCATAATACCTTGTGCTGTATTCACCACCCTTTGTAGGCACTTCCTATCAGATGATGTCAAAATAACAATGCAACTTTAAGAAGACATCTGAAAGCAGCTCTGTATCAGGAAGTTATTAATGTCTGGTGTTTTATTATGTTTTTATATGTGCTGGAAGCTACTCTGAGCAGCTGGAGAAACCCAGCAGGATGGGCAGGATATTATTATTATTATTATCCTTGACCATTGGCCATGCTGGCTGGGGCTGATGGAAGTTGGAGTCCAACAACTTCTGTAATTCAACAGGTTCTGTTGCTGGACTGCAGATCCCTTCAGTCCTAATTTTTGGCCATGCTGCCTGGGGCTGAAGGCAGTTTCATATAGTCATCTGAATCTTTATGGCAGGGAGAAGCCATACTTCAACACTCACCTGTCAGCTGAAAGACCTGGCTTATTGTGGCTGAAATAGCCAGATAAAGATCAATTCACTGCCTGCAGCTGCACACTAGGAAGTGCAATAGCCCTTAGTGCAATGACAACACCCTACAATGATGGATTCTCTGGGTCACAAAGCACAGTCAGATTGCAATGGGGAGAGGGGAGCGCCCTCCCACCTCTGAGCATGCAGGAAGAGTAATTGGAGGCAATGAATTAATTTTAATTACACATAAAATGGGCAGGTGGGTTTTGATGAGGAGTGGAGTTGATTCGAGGAAATGTTGAACAGGAAGCTTTAAATCGCGCTAAGTAGGAGGTAGCTACGTTCAGGTGAGTAAGTGAGATCTAGAGCTAACAGGAGCTGTTTTTCTGCCATAGTTAGAAATGTTTTCTCTCCTCCCACCCCCCATGTTATTTTATGGGAAGAACTGGGCTCCATCCTTGGGGATTTCCCTAATTGCATCCTTTCCCCTCTTCCCGCACCCCAATCCACGCATCTGAATTGAATGAAGAGGGAGATCAATAATGTCTGTTTCAGCAGCCATATTACAAATAGCCAATTTTTCTAAGGTTGCGAATTTAAGCCGCACTTTAACTTTTCACGGTCGGAATTTCGGGTGGTGGTGGAAGTGTGACTTATATTCAGGCCAATACGGTATGGTGTTATTTACACATAGATACAACCTCACCTTGCCAAGAAAGGTCCGTATAGTTAAAGCCATGGTTTTCCCAGTAGTGATGTATGGAAGTGAGAGCTGGACCATAAAGAGGGCTGATCGCCAAAGAATGGATGCTTTTGAATTATGGTGCTGGAGGAGACTCTTGAAAGTCCCATGGACTGGAAGAAGATCAAAGCTATCCTTTCTGAAGGAAATCAGCCCTGAGTCCTCACTGGAAGGACAAATCCTGAAGCTTGGGCTCCAATACTTTGGCCACCTCATGAGAAGACTCCCTGGAAAAGACCCTGATGTTGGGAAAGATGGAGGGCACAAGGAGAAGGGGACGACAGAGGACGAGATGAGTGGACAGTGTTCTCGAAGCTACCAGCATGAGTTTGACCAAACTGCGGAAGGCAGTGGAAGACAGGAGTGCCTGGCGTGCTCTGGTCCATGGGGTCATGAAAAGTCGGACATGACTAAATGATTAAACAACAACAACAACCTGAGCATAAGATGGAGGAGGTCGCAGTTCAACACACCCAAATGATCTTCCTTCTTCACTCATTCAGCCCAGAGCAAGCGTGTCTCTATGCCTCCAGCTGCCAGCCTGCTTCCTGCTTCCTTTCTCTTACACCTCTGGACTCTGCCCCCTTGCCCTGGGAGACTTTGTGCTGACTGAATTCTCAGTTGCCAGCACTGGCTTTCCATAGTCTAGGGCAAACACTTCTTGAATTTAACAGCCAAGTGGGGATTTTCCTTCCAAATAAACCACAACAATATAAAACAGAGGGTCTTCTTTTGCACACTGCTCCATTTCTGGGCAAGAACCTATTTTTGAGAGCCTGTGGTGGTGTGATGGTTGGAGTGTCAAAGCAGGATCTTGAAGACCCGGGTTCGAATCCCCCACTCGGCCATGAAGCTTGCGGGGTGACCTTGGGCCAGTCACTGTTAGGAGTTCATCCTACACTCGAGTAGGACCCTGGTAGAGACACATCCCTGACTGGCATGTTTTCTCCCCCTGGTCGATCGTTTGGGAACTTCAAAAGCTTTCTTCAGCCCAAACATCACAGAGTCCCTGCAGTTCGCGTGACAGACCTCAGCAACTCAGCATTTTGGCTAATCTACTTTATTTACGAATGGGATGCAGGTGGCGCGGTGGGTTAAACCACAGAGCCTAGGACTTGACGATCAGAAAGTCAGTGGTTTGAAACCCCACGACGGGGTGAGCTCCCATTGCTCGGTCCTGCTCCTGCCAACCCAAGTAGTTCGAAAGCACATCAAAGTGCAAGTAGATGAATAGGTACCGCTCCAGCAGGAAGGTAAACGGCATTTCCGTGCGCTACTCTGGTTCATCAGAAGCGGCTTAGTCATGCTGGCCACATGACCCAGAAGCTGTATGCCGGCTCTTTCGGCCAATAAAGTGAGATGAGCGCCGCAACCCCAGAGTCGTCTACAACTGATCCTAATGGTCAGGGGTCCCTTTACCTTTACTTTATTTGCATATAAACACAAACGGAGCACTGCAACATGGCTCCCTCTCTCTCTAGCATCAGACAGCAAAGAGAAAAAGAACAAAGGACAATAGTCCCACTTCATGGAACACAGTAACACAAACATCCTGTCTCCGTCACTTCCCACTGTGGAGTCAAAACATACACCGTCATGTGAAAGACAACAATCCCATGACTGCAATCATGGAGCAGGAATTCTAACAGTCACTGCCTCACTGTCTACCTCACAGGGGTTGTTGTGGGGATTAAACGAGGAGGGGGTGAACCGCCATCTTGAGCTCCTTGGAGGAAAAGGTGAGATATAATTTCAATAAATACAAAAAATAAAAATAAAATGTGAACACTTATTTCACCATGACAAGGTAAGCTTGAAACGCTTCACTGGCTGAAGTTCCAAATGATTTCTGCAAGTGCCCTGAGAATTAGGCAGAAAAATGGAAGCC